ACTGAAAATATTACTAATAAAATTTCTGGCAAATTTAAAAAAAAAAAAAAATTAAATTGTGAAGAAACAAAACAAAACAAAAAACAAAAACAAAAAAAAATTTTAAGGCATCTGCAAATTATGAGCCTCTTAGCTATAGTCTTTCCTCTTGTGTCGAGTGCGGCACATAGGGCAGAGGTCATGACTCTCCATGCATGACGGTTCGTTGCAAACCGTTGCAGGTCTTGGATGTTTGAGTGGCCCATGAGCGAGCCTTACCTGATGATAGTTCTACGTAGGGTTTCCCTTGGTCTTCCACGAGATCTTTTCCCCTGTGGTGTCCAACTCTTAGCTATAGCTTAGACTCAAATCCAGCATGGCTACTTCTAGATTATTTCCCCTATTTCATCACAACCACATCAGTATATATACTATACTGTATCTAAAACTGACTTTAAAATTCCAACATAAACTGTATTGTTACACCATTGCTTTCTCTAAGTCAGCAATGCTGCAATTCCATTAGCAGTAATCCTTTAAATTAGTTGAATAATTTATTGCTTAGATCAGAGGAAATTAGGTTTTTCACAACAAAAATGGGTTTTGTATGCGTGTTCCGAAAGGCTTCACAGGCGATTTCTTATCCTCTATTTTTAAATTTAACTGGCCCTTTCCATTAGAGAAGCAATCTGGCCCAAAGGAACAACCCTGGAGTACATGGGGGCACCAGTTCAACTGTTCTCTCTTGTTTGTGACACACGCTGGAATGGATGGATGGCAAATGATCGGCTAAGAAGATTTTCCATAGAGCAAAATCTATTCGTGGCCACACAAAAATTGACAGCTACTTGAGGGGAAAATAATTTCAAGAAAATATTTCTCAACAAGGATTGAAGTTGTTAACCTTCCAGAGCTCAATGACTCGCCACAGGTGAGCCTCAGATCTTGTTGATCATAATAAAATCGTAACCATGTCACATATATACAACCTTTCACATGAGATCAGTGCAGAAACTTGTAGTACAAGGTCAGTTAAATACACAGAATTTGATTATTGGTGCAAGACAAGGCTACAGGTAAACAAACAAATGTAATAATGGATCACCATCATTAAAGCATATGTGGATTATCAACTTTCTTTGACGAAACACTTCTTCTTCAACAACAAATTGCCTGTTTTTTTTTTTTTCTGGTGGCGTGGTATTGTCACTTGTACCAACTGCCTTGACTATATGTTCATTAGTTTCCAAATGAAACAGTTACAGGCATTTTGGGTGCTTTCATTGGCATAGGAATAAAGAAATAAGGTGCTTTTGTTTTTATTCATCCCAGAAGACAGTCCAATATTTCAGGGGGTGGTAGACAGGCTGCATGCAATCGTTGGGTGTAGGCGGGTTGGGTGTCAGGTCCAGTTCTAGATGTTTTGGGAACCACAAAGCCAGGAAACCTGGTCTTACCACCCTATAAAATATTGGCCTGTCCCTGTGATGTCATCTGGGGTGATTTATTACGAAAGAACCAGAAATAATGAGACGATCTGTTTGCAGTTAAGTTGAAACCTCGACTCCTATCAATACTGCTAGGGACCATTCCAATCTGTTTAGGTTTTATTCTTTTAGCTTTTCTTGATAAAATACTACTCTCAGCCATACCAGTCTGGCTAGGTTTTACTACTTCTTCTTTGCGACCGATTTTGTATGCTCAGGTCAGACCATCAGGTGGGTTGCCTCTATGAACTCACACGACAGCTGCAGATTCTTCATAGTTTCCCATAGCTTGCTCTGCACACTTTGGTCTTGAGGCCAGATTTCTTTTACTCTTTTAAGTCTCTTAATATTCAGTTCAATTTACTCTCATTCTAAACCATTCTCCAATGTTAAATCTCATCATATTCTCTTCAGTTCAACTCATGATAGGATATAAGCATCACAAGCACGTCTGGGAGACACAAACTGCCACTAGACTTACTGATATGGCTAAGAAACAGCCACAGCACAGTTCCAAGCAGACCAAACCTCAGGTTCAAAAGTATAGATCACTGTTGTGAGAAGACACTTCCAGACCAATCCAAAGCTAGTTCAACAAACAACCTTGCTGCCGACAGTTTTGTTGATATGTACAGACAATGCTGTTGCCTCACATCCAGCACTTGGTGTATGCTCATTCATTATCCCGTTGTGCCATTTATGTCACATAGGGCTCGCAGTCTATTTCATCCTGTGCAATGAGTTCAACATGATGGATGGAATTCAGTCCAGCAAATTTGGCCTCTCTCATCAACCTTCATCTATTGGTTTCTCTTGGGAGTCCTCATTTTCCCATTTCAATACCTGTCTGGTTATTCTGCGTTGGTTTCTTCTCAGGATGTGTCCAATCTAGCGCCATCTTCTCTGTCTTATAACTGCTGATACTAGTAGCTGTCGGGACATTTCTCTTATTTCTTTAGTCCTTTTGAATTCATCCCATGTTATTTTCATTATTTTCCTCAGACATTTGCTTTCAAATGCATTTAAAATACCTGGAGTATATGGATAAATAAACTGCCTAGCGCCAATCCTGCCTAGTCAGACGGTCATGACTTCATTAAATTATTGGCCTAAATGTGTTCTGACTCCACAATAGGTCCCTGTATAATCCAAACATATGCATGCAAACAGCACAGTCTAGCAAAAGTAGTCACAACATAAAGCTACATTTACGGCCCTTCAGACCAGCAACAAATGCATGCATACACTATCTGGCCACATACAAAAAAGTACAATATCAAACAATATTTTTGGTGCTTCAGGTCAATTTAGGGCACAAGAAATACACCTGCACACACACCCTATTTGGCCACAAGAAACAGTACAATATCAAACAATATTTACTGGGGGGAAAAAAAAAACACAATAAGCAAGGATGAACCTCAAGGTAAGGAATGCATGTGAAAATAGCCAACCACTTCAAAAATATCTTTCATGAAAACAAGTGGCAATAAATATATTCATCTCTGCACCCTGCATATTTACCCCACTCGCCCCTCCCTTCCTCCCTCCTAACTCTCTTACACACACACACACAACTGTTACATCAACACTCAACAGCCATGTCTTCAAATTCTTCACAGCTTGGCAATGACAGCCAACGATCAGTTTGGTTTCAGTCCAGGAGGCCTCTGACATATGGAGATCAGGTTATCACAAACAGGCGAAGCTGCTTTAAGTGACAGCCTTCATTAATGTCAAGGCCGGCAGGATCCTCTCCAGTCAATCATCGGTATCATCAAGCATCTGAGAAATGACATGGTAGCAACAATTAAGTTGTGTAAGTACAACTGTCCATAGTATATCACAAGACATCCATGTACAACTTGTTTCACTCTTGTGCCACCCCAAAAAAAAAAGTAACTGAACACAATCTTGGATGACCCAGGAGAGCTCTAAACAGGTCCTCATCAGTGCTGTCACTAGTCCTGATGCACCACTAGGTGTAGTTGAGCGCCTCTGCATCCCTTTAACTATGAACAAAACACAAATTATATATATATATATATTTTTAAACTAGAAAGGCCGTCATCATTATCATGTGCTTTGGGGACTGGATGGACGATGACGCTTCTGCACAATCTGTCACCTTTAACAGTATATTTCAATGTCTGTGCTGACACCCTCCATACAGAGGAAAAAAGGCTGCCAAGAAATGGTCTCGCACTGCCTTCCTCTAATTTTTGGAGACCTTTCCAGTGGTCACAGCATGACCCAGTTTCCTTATATGATGACTAAAAAATGATGACCACCTCATTCTGATTTTTGCGATAAGTTGTTTTCAAGTTCCCGCCTCTTTCAAAACATCTGGGTTGCTTTCTAGAAAACGTCATATATAATGGACATGTGAAAGATATCTTCTACTGCTTTATTTGTTGATTTTAATGTTTATGTGCATTTGTGTACTTGTCCCTCTTTCACCTCCACTAAGTTAGGAAAATTCTATTGCGCCCTTCTGCAGATATGAAGTTCCAACACTGGCCATGTACACTCCACTGGTTTCTGAGTTGGATTATTTTGCAACCAACACTAGATTATTTTGCAGCAGTTTCCCACAGGAAATTATTCTTTGTGAGCAGGTCACGAGAAATGTCCCTACACCAACCAGACGGCAGATGCATTTTCCCTCCTGATAACCAGTACAGAGAAATTTTTACTTTGGACACACCTCTGATGGTGGTTATCATACTTTCACATGACCATTTGGACTCTGTCTCTTGATGTTATCCTTCATGTATTGCTGCGTACCTCTTGCCTCGGACTTTGCCGCCCAGTATGGTTTTTAGAAGAGTATTGTCTTTTAACAATTTTATTGGGCTTTCTCAGCTGATGTCAGAAAATGTATCCAAACCTCCTGGATTGCTTGTTACCTCAAACTGCATTATAGTGAGTAAAGAAAGCGACAAAAAGAGATGCCCAAGAGAATATGGAGAAGAGGATTAGAGACAAGAGATGAAAATAAGGAAGACATGGAACGGCAGATTATGGCTAAAGTTAGTAAAGCTCAGTATGAACCAGTTGAAAAATTCGGCTGGATGCTGGGTAAAGGGTGGATGCTGGGTAAAGGGTGTATGCTGGGTAAAGGGTGGATGAAGAAAGTATGAGGCAAGCTAGAATAAAGAGAAAAGAATCAACAAACTGCACTCGACACAAAAATATTTGTACTCTTACAGTCCATGTGTGTGACAGTAAAGTGAATGAGATAACGAATCACTTGTAAGCTTACTGAACAGAAGTGACCGAATGTTGACCACATCAGCAGCTGGGTTATAATGAGTTAGCACGACTTGAACCGGACATAAGGAACAGATTGAGACTTTCCAGTGCTGTGTGAATGGTTCCGGTGAGCGAAGGCACAAGGTGTAGACATGACTGGGAGTCTGGATGATGACCATTGTACAACAAGCATGTACATTAGTGGGATATTTATAACATATTTTAATAAAAAATACCTACCAAGAGAATTTCAAGACAAGCCTGAAGCCTGTCACGTTTTTATCTTCCTGGCGTGTACCGTAAATGGTTTTCAATGATCTCCACCATTTCTCCCGGAGAAGGAATGCGACCAGTTTCTAGCTTGGACCAGATTGGGACATCTGAAATATTAAACAGTGAATACTGAACTAACAACTATGACTTTTACAGAAGATAGATAAAAAACAACAGAAGAGCAGACACAGACATTTAAACATGATGATGATTCTTCTTTTCTTCCATTTTCACATCTTCAAATGTCAAGGGAGATATAAGGTCCTGCTTCTTGCCTCCACCACAGACACATAGTGCTGTTGTAGAGTTTCTTTGACGTTATCTTTCCATCATGTTCTTGGTCTACCTTGTGTTCTTCATCATTTTCTTATTTTGGTGTATGCCCTATATGGTATAGCACCACAAGGCATGCTCTCTAAGTAGGCAAATTATTTGATTTGCTTTGTATGTAAGAACTGGCTCTATACTGAGTTTTCTCGTACAACCTCATTCAAGATTTTATCTCTTCTGGTCATTCCTGCGGAATTCTCAGACATCTCATTTCCATGGTGAATAACTGTGAGATAAAATATGATATGACATAAGAATGATTGAGAAAACAAACTGAACAATACTGTATCTATCAAAACTGTACTACAGATAAAACAGTGACATCCTTTCTAAAGATCCTTCAACATGGGAAATGATCCAGGCATAGACAGAAAGGCGGACGAATGCATCATAGTACTGCATGCAAAGACCCTTGAACATGTCTACAACTGTTATCTAAAACCCGAATGGACACATGTATACATTACGGATCATTGGAGGGAGCAGACAAAAACAGTCATCATGCGCCTCCAGAAGATTCTCAACAAACTTCAGAGCAGAGCAGCAAGCAATTATTGATTCAGCCAAAGTGCTTGAGGAAAGAAAAATTAAAAACGGCAAAATTGTTTTCATTAGTGACTGCATGTCAGTCCTCCAGGCGACTCAGAGGGATCCAAGAGACAACCTGGAGAGAGAACTGACCTGCTAGCAGCTAAACAGACTCGCAGAAAACAATCAAACTGTTCTCCAGTGGATCCCGGCTCACTGTGGCATACCAGGCAATGAGTTGACAGACTTGCTAAAAATGGAACAAAGGAGAAGCACCACACATATTCATTGTCATTACCAGAAATCAGAACACTTTTTTAGGGAAAATACAAGGAATTGTCGAGAGAATAAACTAACAGTAAACATTCACAAGACTCCATCATAAGACTCTAAAGGAAAGCAAATACAGTAATTTTTCCGTCTACAAACAGGACACTGCAGGCTCAACTACCACATGCATAAAATAAAGATTGTACAATCCCCACAGTGTGCCTGTCGAACAGGACCACAAATACCTGAACACATTCTGCAAACCTGCCCACTCTATCTACAACTTAGAAAAGACACCTGGCCTCAAGAGCAAATAAGTCTCAAGGGATAGGGAAAATTATATTTCTTCTTTTTCTACCGTTCCCCCCCCCCCATTCTACCACTAAGCATAGACCCTCAACTAAAGTCAAACCATTCCATCCTTTGCTATCACTACTCCTTTCTCCAATTTAACAATCACTATAAACTTACCATTGAAAGAGACTTCGAATGCACCGGTAGATATCAACTGACCCTCTATTGCATTGGAGATGAAAAACAACATAAGGCAAGCATACATCTGAAATAAATACACAGAAAATATTAATGAGTATTTGGTAATGTATACAAAATATCATTTGGGTAAAGATTCAGCTTTCACGGCATTCAGAACTTATATTAGCCTCCCCCCCCCCCCCCCAACCATTATTAAATATCATATTTTTTTGAGTGGTTAAATGTATAGCACTTATATACAATACAGAAGTGGCCTTTCGACTAGAAACACCAGGCCTTTCCTAATTTCTAGTTCCTAGTGGTTGGAATTTACAGCTATTCTTTTCTTCTTCAGGGTGAGGTAGCCATTTGCATGCCAGCCCTGTAGAGTCTTCTTTTAGGACATGCATGATAGGTTATAGTGTTACTCCTATTGCAGTTTTATGGTTTCTAATAACACCTTTTTTACATGCAGCTTCAAAATATTATAAATAAATAATGAAAGAAAGGGCAACTTAAAAATTTTGATGGGTGACTTGAATGCTAAGATAGGATCAGACAACACAGGTTATGAAGAAATTATGGAGAGACATGGTCTAGGAGTAATGAATGAAAATGGAGAATTGTTCACAAATTTTTGTGCAGGTAACCAGTATGTTATTGGTGGAAGTATTTTTTTCCCATAAAAGTATACACAAGGCAACATGGAAATCACCAGACCATAAGACAACTAATCAAATTGACCACATATGTATTAACAAAAAGTTTAGATCATCCCTTTACGATGTTAGGGCTTTCAGAGGTGCCGATGTATTTACTGACCATTTCCTGGTGATAAGTAAAATCAAGCTGAAACTAAAAAGATATATAACATCTTATAATCATAGAAACCAATATAATGTAGGCTTTCTCAGAGATAAAGAAATGAAGGAACAGTTCTCAGTTACGGTCTCTAATAAGTACCAGGTGTTGCAGCAGTTAGCTGAAGATGTCAACACAGAAGTCTGCTGGGATCAGATCAAAGGAATCTGGAATGAATCTTGCGTAGAAGTTCTTGGCAAGAAAGAAAGGAAACATAAAGCATGGATAACACCAGAAACCATTAAACTGATTGAAGATAGGAAAAGTAAAAAGGCAGAATTAAACAATAGCAAAACTAGAGCTGCTAAAGCTAGAGCTCAGGAGAATTACACAGAAGCCAACAAGGAAGTTAGGAGGCATATAAGGGCAGATAAAGTGAAATATCTAAATGATCTAGCACAAGAAGCGAAGACAGCAGCAGCAAAAGGAAACCTCAGAGAACTTTACAGTAACACAAGAAAATTAGTAGGTAAATATAGTCAGCCAACTGGATCAATCAAAAATAGTCAAGGAAAGGTACTTATTAACACTAAAGATCAAATGGACAGATGGGTTGAATATTTTGAAATGCTTCTAAATAGACCAGGCCCAGAGGTTCCCCCAGATATCCAGCCTTTAGAAATGGAACTGGATATCAACTGTGAGATACCATCCAAAGAGGAAATTAGAAAAGCTATAAATCTTCTTAAGGAAGGAAAGGCGTCAGGCCCAGATGGTATCCCAGCTGAAGCCATCAGGACCAACATAAACACATCAACAGAATTGCTACATAGATTAATCAGTAAAGTCTGGGAGACCGAAGAAATCCCAGCAGACTGGAGAGAAGGATATCTTGTGAAACTGCCCAAAAAAGGTGATCTACAGGAGTGTGAAAACTATAGAGGAATTATGTTGCTGTCAGTTCCTGGAAAAAAATTAAGTAGAATTATTTTGAAAAGATTAAAAGATGCTATTGATAAAATGCTAAGAGATGAGCAGGCAGGTTTTCGGTCAAACAGATCCTGTACTGATCAGATAGCCACATTACGTATTATAATAGAGCAAAGCATTGAACTGAACTCACCACTTTACATTGGATTTATAGACTATGAAAAAGCATTTGACAGCATTGATAGGGAATCTCTCTGGAAATTGATGGGGCACTATGGAATCCCACAGAAAATTATCAACTTAGTAAAGGCAACATATAAAGACATGAAATGTCGAGTTCTTCATGAGGGAAAGCTAACAGATGCATTTGAAATAAAAACAGGTGTGCGACAGGGATGTCTTTTGTCGCCTCTCCTATTTTTACTGGCTATAGACTGGACTATGAAAACAGTAACTGCTAACACCAAGAATGGAATTCAGTGGACCCCTACAAAACAGCTTGATGATGTGGACTTCGCTGATGATATTGCTCTTCTGTCCAATTCATGGAATCAGATACAAGATAAATTAAATATACTTAATGCAAGATCACAGCAGCTTGGTCTGAAAATCCATAAAGGAAAGACAAAGATAATGAGAATAAATCAGGCAAATAGTAATGTGGTTTCTCTTAATGGCACCCCACTCCAAGACGTGGAGTCGTACACCTATTTAGGCAGTAATGTAGATAAAGATGGAGGAACTGATAGAGATATTAAAATAAGAATACAAAAGGCAAGAGGGGCTTTCATAGCACTAGGGAATTTGTGGAGGTCAAAAGAAATTAAAAGAAATACTAAACTAAAAATTTTTAATTCTAATGTCAAATCAGTACTATTGTATGGGGCGGAAACATGGAGAACAACGAAAGCAATTACTAATAAATTACAGACATTCATTAACTGGTGCCTGCGCAGAATAGAGGGAATAAAATGGTTTGATAGAATAACTAATGTAGAACTTTGGGAGAGAACTAAACAGGCTCCAGTGGATCAGGAGGTGAGGAAAAGACGCTGGCGTTGGATAGGGCACACACTGAGAAAACAGGAGAACAGCATAACTAGAATGTCTTTGCATTGGAACCCACAGGGGCATAGGAATAAAGAAAGGCCAAAAAACACATGGAGAAGAGAGCTGGAGAATGAGGTTAGAAAGATTGGGAGGACATGAGGGGAGCTCCATGTAATGGCGAAGGATAGAACGACTTGGCGTTAGTTGGTTGAGGGCCTATGCTCCATTGAGGGATAGAAAGGCAGAAGAAGAAGAATAACACCTTTAAGCTACTTCTCCACAACAGTTACAGTGGAACTTCAGTTTGTGAACAGCCAATCTCTTTACCATGGACATCACAGGAAGTACCACAGTGAATTAATATTGTCCAGATTGCTGCTCAAATGTTCTTTGTCTCTTCATGATTCCAGGTTCTTCTTCGACTACCCCTCAATGTTCCTTGAAAAAGTCTTTGCAACTGAATCATGTCTCACCACGTGCCTGATCCAATTTCTAGAACACAAGATTTTTTACAGCAGAACATCTAGGAGGAAGGCGAGGGGAGCACCAAGAAAGAGTTGAATAAATAGTGTAGTTAAAACCTGCAAAAAATGATGAAAAACAAATCCATCACCCAAGCCATTCAAGAAGGGCAGGACACACATAGAATACCACACTACAAACTGGTATCTGTGAGACGACAAAACAATAATAATAATATTGATATTTGTCCACGCCAAAACGACAAGATCTTTTCTAGGTTTTACAGTCTCTGTTCCTCTTCTTCTTGTGGATTATTCTAGTTTTTCCCATCTCAAAACATTTCCAAGGAATGATGATTGTCTTGTTCTCAATGCAGTCACCAGTTCTCCACGCAAATGGTTTCTTTTAAGATGTCTCCATTATCCTTCTAACCTATTTATATTTTTGATAGTCTTAGTGATGTAACTGTGTTGTACCTGTTTACAGCAAAGCTGCAATTTTTCTGCTTTTAGCTGATACCTTCGAACCCAGCAGTTCTTAATACGTTTTTTTGATCGAACGACCACATACAGGAGTCAAATAAGAACATCGGAAAACACATATCCATTGAAGTTATAAGGGAAAATAATTGTTTGCGAGTCACCACAACTATTGTCGCCATCATTGTTGTTTAGACACTCTAATTGCCCATAATCCATTTTCATACATCTGGATTGGCTAAATGAGAATACATTCTCTCCCCTCTCTCTATTTTGCACAATTAACACATAGACAAATTTTACCTTGTTATTGATTGCCCAAGTAAACGAGCTGGGTGTTTGTAAGTTCAACAGCGGGAAAGGGTTGTAGCCAGTAACAACAAGACCAATGAGAACAAACTTCAGTATACCAAGAGCTTGTGCTAGCATTGAGCGCATCACTGGAGGCGGGTAATTATCCCCGACGATCGACAATGATGGGAAGCGCTCAGAGAGTGCCTGAGCGTACTGCTCAAACACCTTCCTGTAGCCTCAAGAGTAACTGAAATAAACGAGACAGAAAACATTTTATAACATGACATCTTCCCCAAGTGGGTTACAGGGCCCTGTTATAGGAAAAACAAAAATAGATCCACTGTCTACTCAACAGCATGTCATAAGAGTTGAATAACTGGGAGCTTCCTTTAAAGTCAGGGTGCATATGCCTAAGAGGCAAGGAAACAACAGTCTGCATACAGATTAGCCAGGTCTGTTAAACGGATGCACACGCAACCCTCAAGTTCTGGAACAGGACTGCAGCCCAGAAGTGGACAAACAACCAGAACTTTTCGCCAGAGATTACTGTTGGTGAACATGAAGAAGATTAGATAACTTGACAATTGTGAAAAATAATTTTCAGAAAGGATATAATCCTTTTCACAACTGTCACTCTTCTAAAACTTTTGAAGTCATGAATGCGTGTCACAGAGATATAATACATTGTGCAATTTTTCTGTGTGTGCTCTTTTTTGTTAATTTTAAAAAAAGCTTATTAGGTTAGGTTTTCTGGCTTATTACCCACTGCATATTTTTATATTATTTTTTAAATTTATACAATATAGAATACAATCTGAAAATAAAGTATACTATGCCCTTTAACATCTGCTAAAGTCAAAGTGTCTGTCTCTGAAACTTAGAGCACAACTAAAAGAGATGAAGCCTTATTACAGGTTTTCAAAAACAGAGTCTTCCGACGAATCTTTTGACCCATCAAAGATGCAAACAGTGATCAATGGAAAGTGAAAAGCAACAACGAAATTCATTATCTGTTTAAATCACCAATGATTACTGGCATCATGAGAGCTAATAGACTTAAATGGTTGGGACATATTGAAAGAATGTCAGATGACAGAGAAGTAAAAACTGTATAAACAAGGGAGATGAATGATCGTAGACCACGAGGCAGACCAAGAAGACGAAGGAGAGATAATATCCAAATAGACCTGCAAACATTTGGTCTCACCAACTAGAAAGAGTGGACCATCCAGAGAGATCAATGGAGACGGGTGATTTCTGCAGCAATGAACCTCAAGGGCTGGGAATGCTGAAGAAGAAGACGTTATCCCCAAAAAATCCTTTCTTATTTATTTTATGATATTAAATATTAATCAATATTAATATATAAACTATCTACCTATCTACTTTATTTTATTTCTTGTGATGATACAAAGCTATTATTAAGCCTGCCTTTCTTACTGATAATAATAATAAAATTACAACATGAAATATTATTAATATAAATATTATTACTAAATTCAAATTATTAAAAAAAAATGTTTACAGTTTACAGAAAAGACAATTCAAAAAGACATTTTTTGGTTCTCCTCCGAACTTCTACCCCGTCATTATGGCACCGCCGGCCAGGCCGAACAAATATCCTTACTGGGCTCAGTCCTATTAAAAATATGCGAACTTCCGGTGACGAACGAATCGTGGCAAAACTAGGATCGGCTCCATATAGCAAAACAAATGCTTTAACAGGGTCTCAGCGATATGTTAATTGTGGACCTGTTTCTTATTGTTTCTGATTACCTGACAATTTTAAGAGATGCAACACAGCAGACGATAATAGCGACCGTTGACACCTTCGAACGTTTCTGCAGACGATAAAAGCGACATGGCGGGGAGACCACGCGCGCCGACGCAGATTAGCGTTGTTGTTGTCCTTGACACTTTTCAAAAACGCCGACAGTATCCCCGCGCTGATGGGAGGCTAAACTAGATGCTTGGGACTCACGAGCAAATTATTTGGAGGAAGTTTCAGGAGATGCGGTAGCTGCTGCTATTAGACTGTGTTAGACTACTGAGTCCCAGCCATCTAGTTTAGCCCACATCCGCGCGGCGCAATTAACATATCGCTGAGACCCTGTTAGAGCATTTGTTTCGCTATACGGAGCCGATTCTAGTTTTGCCGCGATTCGTTCGTCGCCGGAAGGTCGCATATTTTTAATTGGACTGAGACCAGTAAGGATATTTTAGGCTGCCATAATGTAGGGGCTTTAGCTGTCGGTTAACTTCCGGTATTTTCGGCGATTTGCGTTACCGGAAACAGCTCAACACTTGTTGCGGGAAATCCCGGCCTATTTCGGGTTGGGTCCGCAATCCGATAAAATAGGGCAAACCTGAGACTTTGACTAACTAAATATAGCTGAATACGTCAGAAAGTAATCCCCCCTTTGATAGCACATGTCTAGTCAGCCTTTCGCCCCGTTTTACTATGTAGTCGAAATGATTGAATATATAGCTGTCACTATTCACCGATACATTATTAAGGCTTAAACGTAAGTATACTTAAAAATGCTTGTATTTATTGAATTCTCTGTCCAATTTTATAATAGTGGGTAAATTTTCATTGATATAAAGTTCCCGCATGATTTACACTAGAAAATTTGCGGCAGTCCCTAATGTATCCACTATCGAAAAAAATGTCCGCCATCTTGTGGACTCTGCCATATCTGTCATAGCCCGAAAAATGAAATAATCATTATTGTTTTCTCTAATTTACACACTTTTTGACTATATTGTTTGAAACTACAATTCATTTCAACTTTTTATTGGAGGAATTATAAAAATATTTTGAAGAAACAACTTTTAAATGGGAAACTTGTTATTACATAAACTAAGAGTAAGAGCCATGCGACCTTCAGAATTTTTTAATTACTACCAGTTATTATTTATTATTCATGTTAGGTTTCATGATTTTAAATTTTATACATACATATTTGAGTTTTTCAACCATTTTTACTTCTGTATGGAAAATTTCATACCTTTAAAAGATTCGGCAAATGAATATACATATAATACTCCACAGGTTTTTAACTGTACCACTCTATTTGAAGAGAAAGAAAAAATTTCCGATTACAGCCAGTTTTCCAGTGCATTTACTATGCTGGTTTTATTGAAAAAAAAAAGCATTTTGAAAATTTCACTAAAGTACCTAGATTTAATCATGCCGACGGGGGTAGAAGTTCGGAGGAGAGCCAAGAAAACATAACTCTTATTTTAACTCGGTTTACTGGCATCTTTGAGATTGATGACCAAATGTGACATGACATGTGGGTGACAATCATGGATGGATGGATGCTTATGGTAACGCCGCAATGACCGTCATGGTGAGTTTAAAATGTGAGATAGTCAGCGAAAGAAGGCAAGTTATGTGTGGTTTTCTCTTACCAAAACAAAAACTTTAATGTCGGTCCTGCAAAGCTAGAAAGCTTCGGTGCCTTGACATTTTTTTGAACTGTGATAGGTTCTTGCGTTGATGTAACATCCCTGTATGTAAAGAAAACAAGCCCAAGACACAAGGCAAAAAACGACAGACGTCCTACGTCGGCCATCTTTAGATCTGTCTGGTGGCCAGGAGTTTCGTAGCTGTATGCTAATTTCAATTCCAATCAATACTGAAGAACGTGTTTCTCGTACCAAATCAAACATGTTTCTGCATATCTCCCCGTTGACAAAATGTAATTCACAATTAAAGTTTACAAATATTTCTTAGTTTGAGGATTCTGTAACACGCGATAGTGATTCATTGCGTCTGTAAAATAATCCCCACCAGAAAAACGGCTATTTGTCAATCTGGCCACTTCGGGAGTGATTACGTATCAGTATGAGAATTAATCAAACTGTGTTAAGACACTTTCTCTGCCTGCCTTGTAGATGGGTTTGAATCATAATTGACGTTGACTTTTTTTCAAGGGACCCCCTTTCAGAAATGCAGCCTGAAAATTTGACACTTAGTGACTCATAGAGCCATTATTCAAAGGATCTGGGAAAAAAGGGGGAAAGGGGGGGGGGGGAGGAGGAGGAGGTTAATTCTAAAAGTGACATGGTTTAACTAGTCAACATTGTCACCAGTCGCTGTTGACTAATCAATGACCCCCCCCCCCCCTTTTTTTTTTTTTTTTACCTTTGACGGGTTTTGCAAAGGACTTTGTGGTTACATGCCTGAGCCTATCCAGTCAGTCAAGTTCTGTATCTAGATCTTTCTGGGTCTGCCTCTTATCTTCCCCTCTACTGTAATATTAGGCTATCCTCCAACAACGGTCCCAAATTATCGAAAATATACCCTAACAGGGCCTCAGTCACGTGTAAATTTTGAACTCGTTCCTGTGACTACACAGCATACCGCGGAAAAGCTTCCGCCGAGAGTATCTCCTGCGCCGCTAGGCACTGCGTGGAGTGGGGCTAAACTAGATGGCTGGGACTCACGAGCAGCAGCTACTGCCTCTTCTGCAACTTCCTTCATTTTATTTGTTTGTGAGTCCCAGCCATCTAGTTAAGCCCCAGTCCGCGTAGCGGCGTATGAGACACTCTTGGCGGTATGCTGTGTAGTCGCCGGAAAGAGTCCGCAATTTACATGTGACTAAGGTCCTGTTAGGGTATATTTTCGGCCTTGATAATTTGGGACCGTTATTCGGAGGATAGCCAAATATTGTTTTCGAGAGGCCGTTAGATCTTATCTCATGTCAGTACCATTGCATTTTTCGTCTTTTCGCTGTCGTTAAAAGAGGTTCATAGTTGCCAGTGTGCTTGGTAATTATACAGCAAACATCGTCATCTGTAATATAGTCTCTATAAGATATGCCAAGAATTTCTGAACAATCTCATTTTCAGTGTTTGTATCTTCTTTTTGAGTTCAGCTGTTAAAGATCCACATTTCACAACCATACGTAAACGTACTAATAACCGAGTCCTCCGTGAGATAAATATATCCAGCCGTGCTAATAGCTAAGCACGGTATTTAAAAAAATGTCTGTCAGTATCCTAATTATTTTATCATTATGAAAATTTCGTTCTGTATTGCTCATTTCAAATCCTTCCTACGCCAACCAATGACAGAACGCTAAGATTTCTCGAAGCCTCCGCGATTCGTCACCTGCGCCCGGAACTCTGTATTC